TGGAGTGTTCCCTTGATCAACGGATGTCCTTTTTCTGTCATTCTTTCAACCAACTCAACTCCCTGGGGCGTATTCAACTCATGCAGCCTGTTAGGCGCAGCGAGGTATCACACAGCCTCATCCTCACAAGGTACCCATTTGCAGCTGGGTGAACTGGAACACATAGTCATTGCATTTTGTCCAATGATACTGCACGTTTCTATACCACCAACAAGGTGCCTGCTCGTGTTTGTGTGTCCACCATCTGGTCACCTACCATCGGATCTTATGTGCATAGACTGAATATCACTGCGTTAATACAAGTATATTTTTCACACGGTTATAAATAATTACTTTAAACTGAGAACAAAAATAATTATTATGATAGGGATATGACCTTTTGCAACCACATTTTGTTATCAATAATTGCCTGTGGTTTATCTATTTTGCCAGTTATGTCCAATGGAATCTGCCTTTAGTAATAATCAATATTGATTATTCTTGACGTTTCCAATATACACATAGATCAATCGTCTTACAGTAACTACATATAAAATATAACTCTTGTCAAGACAGCTCATTCTAATCCGCTTCAAGGAATGAAAATCAAACGTTCTCTCCTTCACGACCTTCAGCTGTCAATGGGGAATGCAAATAATTTAAACTTCATTATAACTTAAGTTCAATGTTAAAATTAAATAATTTTCGTATCAGATTTTATTTAAACGCAAACACGAATTGAATGATTCATAACTCCATGCTCAATCAATCAATCAAACTTTATTTCATACTGAAGAGGCCACAGGCCTATAGTACATATACATGTACATATATGATGGGGAATTACATAAATAAATAAATATATTTACATTACAGTGATAAAGGTTTTCTTCTATATAACATGTTAGAATTGAATAATTTGCTAGTCAGATTATATTTTAAACGCAAACACGAATTTGATGATTCATAACTCCATGCTGATGATAGCGTAGGAATTTTGTACAACGGACGTTGTTTCTTTTCGTAAAATCATAAATGTCTGTTCTGTGACTTATATCGAAAGAAATTAGCAATATATTTTTTATTTGTCATATCTTATTTATCCGTTGGTATACATATAAATACATTCAAAATTGGACTGACCAGTGTTCAAATTTATTATGAAAGTAGTTCATAAGTGTGATACGTCTTCACATATACGTACGAAACTATTTGGAACGACAACCTTTTATTCCTATCTGCGTGAGGTATGCGTAAGAAGGGTTGTGGGTGACATTAATGATCAACTCGGGCATATTTATCACCACCAGAACAGTAAAGTAGCTTTCTATTCCACAAGAGTAAATCACAGACATATTCCGTCCAATTTAAGACCGTCTCCAATGGTAAACGTCAGATTCCTTGTTGACATAGCGTTTTGCCGTTCCGCGCGAAGCATTCGAGTTTAGCAGGTTCATTACATGTATCAAATCAAAATAACCACCTTCTGACTGAATACCTCATCACATCAGAAGATAATATCGTCGGAAAAATATTTCTGCGTGTACGGTTTTAAATTCAATTAATCGTTAAATATACAAGTGATCTATCTCTGTAATAAACTTATATTGTCAGATGCATCATCGTGTGTTAAAAACTATTGTTAATGACGTTTATTGTTCGGATTATGAATAAGTATGATTGTCGAAATCATGTAGCTGCTTTATGATGCATCATCGCTCCACACGTTTTCCTCACTGACGTCCATACACGTCAACGCCCATGCTCCTATTACCTACATACTGGAGTCAGAAAGACAAAAGAAAGTAACACTGGATTTGAAAACAATCCCAAAGAATTTGCAAATGTCATCAAAACTTTACTAGTGGTGGAAAACAGACATCGAAACGCTTCAAACGTTAGGTCCAAATCACAACTGTGACAGCTGTATGAAATACATCTCCACCGATACTTTTTTTCATATCTGTTTCATTTTGGTATACTTACGTTTGTCCGGGAGTGTATGTAATTCTCGCCAGCCTCATGCAGGCGGTGAATACTGCTTGATATAGAAGGGTGCCATTAGTCAACCAGGGTGTAAATATCTTCTATCGACGTTGTATTTTGGCACGTAGACGACTCGTATATAATGACACAATTTCTGGATACTCGTGGATGTCATACACATATGGTTTTGAAAGAAAGATCAGCTTTTTCGTGACTGGATGCGGGGAAATAGCCGCAAAATAGAACCTCTAGCTACAATACATTATTTTGAAGATTTTTTTAAAGCAAAATCGAACATTAAATGAAAACAATTGTTTGTTCAAAAGACTGACATAATTTGACATTTCCCCTTTGAAAATGGCCTTATCTCATATATACTGAACATCATGGTCAAGAAGCTGATTTCTGTATGAAGATGTCTCATGGCAAGATTACTGTTGAACAGCATCAGTTAATGCTTAATCTTTATAAAAATGTGTGAATGGTGGACGGCACCGCAGGACATGCTTACTCTTTTAAGAAAACGTACTTAAAAGTTAAAGTTACTTTTATGTTAAGAATTATGTGAGGAAAAGAAACTTCACGATTCTACGTATAGAGGTGATTAAGTAGTTATGCATGAGAACACAGGGCGGTAGGTGAACACTGAGCAATCTCCTAATACACATTTAATGTTATATTCATGATTTTTTAATCTCAATATACATACAATAACAGTAAATTAGGGTTTTAGCACGTGCTTGTAGATGATCCCCCCTACGTGTTGGGAGTGTCGCCTCTGGCGTGGTGATAAATCTGAGACTTGCCACTCTCAACAGGGTTGTATGGACGATGAAATGTTAACGTGAACCCAACAACCTGTAATGAACATCAGCGTCCGAGTACAATCCCCACAATGGGTTAATTTATTGTCTGTTAATTATTTCACAATACTTCATCCGGATCGGATGGTCAGGCAGTGTTTTCCATTGTGTCGAGTTAACCTGGTGGCATAGATCTTGCTAATGCTTTCATTTCCTAACTGATTGGTTTGTAATGCCATATTCGAATACTTACACCTCACGGTTATACAGCAGGAAAGCACACACACACACACACACACACACACACACACACACACACACACACACACACACACACACACACACACACACACACACACACACACACACACACCATTGGAGAATTTGATGATGCACGTTATTGTGCAGATCAATGGTCATGATGTAGGTCACCAGATGTTCTGGTCCGGACTTTAGCATCCACAAATAGCAGTCTTACAGCTTGTATGCTACTGAGTGTTAAACAGCAAATGTACAGTGTACAAGTACCGAGAGTGTATTCTGTGCACAGATGTCGGTACAGTCCGGATTATGAGAGTTTCACTGTGTGGTTTAACGAAGTGAAATTTATGAATCTATTGCACGAAGCACCCAAATTCGAAATGAACTTTTCTTGGGACTAAAAAATAAGAACTTTCCTAATGCGTACACTTATTTTCTGAACAGAACGTTTTAAAGCATTTTAATGACATTTGAATAGAATGTTGACACTACGTAGGGTATAATGTTTTTCTAATACTTTGGCGTTTGATGGGTTTTTTAATGTATACCTCCCAGACTATAACGAAAACGAATTAAAAGCAAAACACGCAAAGGGTTTTTTTTAACGATTTCAACTTACTTTTGTTTAAAATTTAAAATTTAAAATTTCCCTTTCAATATTTTTGCCTCCTTTAAATACGCAAAGTATATGTCAAAGGCCGTTTATATTACATACACAAAAGATTTTACAGAGACAAAAGTATTTCAATGATATGGAACTGTCCTTGTCTGTCGTGACAAGTAGTTTTTGGATATCGACACATTCACAGATCACAGTTAGATTTGTGTAGCAACATTTACCTTACAGTACCACTCACCAGTAGTTTGTTCGGGGGTTGATCAAGGCCTTAGTAAAGTCTTCAGCACAAAAGTTCTAATGCATCAGTGACCAAAATGACGTCCTATTCAATCCCCGTGTACTGTGTGCGATATTTGGTCTTTTTTCAATGAATTCTTTTGCAGGTGAACAACTGACGTGCCTTGAACGTGCCTTAGCAAAATTGAGTTTAGAACAGTTGCCTGACGTAAGTGGCTATATTTACACTAGTGAGTCTAAACGTTTGATGAGAAGTATGTAATCGGAATTGACTTTTAAGATTTTTTAAGGGTGTGGAAAGGGTTTTGTTGCTTGTATTAGTATGTATCGGTAAGGACTACTTTAAGGGTCAACTTTTCAAAAACCTTTTTAACGGAAATATGTAATTGATTGTTGCTTTGGACACAACCATCTCAACACACTGACGTGCCTGGTGTAGGCTGGGCACTGAGTAGGTTCAGTTTGTGCTACTTAATGGAAACAAAATGGATGATATGCCATAATGTTCAGTTTAGTCTGTGGAATGAAACCGTTATGATCTATATATAAATGCCCTAAAGATATACAGCTATGCTCAGAAAACATTTCATGGCAAAGCTTTGTTATAGAAAGTCATAAAATTACACAATTGTAAATGATGTATAATGCCAACATAAACCGGTATTGGCAAACGGCTAAGACATCCTGCATGGAAGCATAGAACTTAAATTGTACGTCGTCATATGAAAACTAGTCAAGTATATACTGTTCAAAACTACATTATGTTTCAAAAAAGGCATCATTAAGTAACAGAAATGATATATTATATCAATATAAGAACATTCATGCATCATTTAGTGAGTTAGTGTGAATGAGTATTTTTACGCCGCTTTTGCAATGCAACGACAACGAACATTAGAAATTTGCCTTTGCATTGAACCAGTGTGGAATCAAACTCAGGCTTTCGGCTTGACGAGCGAACGCTCCAACCACAAGGCTATCCCACGACATAATATAAGTAACATTACCTCCAGCCGCACCAACATGACATGGTCTCGATGGTAAGACTGAAGAAAAGATGGACGAACATACAACCTTGTATGACTGCCAGTACGATGAAAATGTTCAGTACTCACCCTCAACTGTAAATACAACTTTACACCGGTAATAACCCTTCAGTACTATCACCGATCACAGACGCACGAAACCAGTAAACACAGACCACAGACCCTCACAGACCACAGATCCTTACCGATTACAGATACGTCATCTGGTAGGTGTCTTCAAATGCGTATGTTGGTGAAGGCAGAGTCCGCCCTCCTCTAACCTCGGATCATAAAACTAATGGAACTATGTACGTGTCATTATGAGGGCAACACGAGGCCACAGCTGATATAATTTCACATGCTGTTTCTTCATCTCAACTGTCATCATAAATCTTAGTAACGTCTGTCACGGGAGCGTAACAGTAAACAAGTCACACAGAGATCCTGGATTACATCTCTTGCATGAAAGTCCGGGTTTGTTGATATTGATAATCTGAACACGATATTTAAACTGGTAGCCAAGGTGAAACATTCAAATTCAAACTTTATTTGTAATGATAGTGTTAACTGTACCGAGCAGTCGAGGGAATTATGTTCTCATCGGTAACAGTGCAACATTGTACGCTTCCATCAACACATTTACAGATGTATGAAGGAGTCATGAAGTTGCTTTTATTCTTAAAGTTTCTTTTTGGTACACACCCGACCAAGCGGTAGGTGCTGACAAACCTGGGAATATCATCGGGCAAACCGGGATTTGAACCCTTGATCAGAGGTTGCAGGAGTGCCCAAATCATTCAACTCTGCACATGTTTTGGCCCTTAGACCGCTGGGACACTCCATCCGCCCCCAGCCAAAACTGGTTTGGTAAGTGGACACCTTGACGACTCAGGTTTACAAGAATTAATTGCAATACTTATGTTAATTGTTGTTTAACGTAGCCCTTGGAAACGCTTCAGCGTTGTACGTAATCGAGTTGGGGCTAGTACGCGAGTCTTAACATCATTTCTAAGAAATGAACCAGACACGGATGTGGCAATATATACACATGGAAAAGCATATTTTTCTATTAACCATAGCAAAGGAACTTTTCAAAACCTCAATTTAACTTACTGTCTGATTACATTGGCCTTTAAGTAATTATTGAATGGCAAATCTAAACGCAAAAAGAACTAAAAATTGTAGTTTATTCAGAGAAGCAAACATGGCAAAAATAATTTCATTTTCAAGATTCGGTATACAGTCCTCAAGACATTGCACAAGTAACGGTAACCGGCACAATGTCAATATCTGGTGTAACTTCCACCAACTGCAATAGCATCCCTGACCTTCTTCCTCAATGAAAGTACGATGGAAGACTGTACATCCAAAGTTAGCGCCAACATGCTGAAGTTAAAGACAAGACAAAGGCTTTCCACATAGGACCTGACAAAAGGCTGCACAAGATCAAAGCAACTCACATCACAGTCGACAGTGATGAAATCAACTTGCGACAGATGCTAGATACTTGGGTGTGAAGCTGGAATCATCACACAACATGGACAAGCACATCAATGACCTCGTCAAAACATGCTAATTCACCTCCGAAACATAGGTAGCATAAGCCACTTTCTCACAGAATAAACAGCTGCATCACTTGCACATTCAATGATGCTCGCCAGGATTGACTATAGTAATAGTCCCCAATCTCTTTCACATTTGTGAATAAAATATGTTTAAATCAAATAGTCTGCTTGTAGGGGCTCCAGCGCAACAAATGAGACGGCTGCAAAACATCCAGGAATCAGCGGCTAGAATTGTCAAACTGTCAAAAAAAAGTCCTGTCACATCACTCCAGTACTCAGGCATCTTCACTGGCTGCCGGTCAAAGAACCGATACATATCATAAGACCCTCACCCTCACATATCAGTGTGTCAGTGATACAGGTCCTGGTTATCTGTGTGATCTAGTGGAGGACTATGTCCCTACAAGAACTCTCCGTTCCAGCGATCAAATGCTACTTAAGGTCCCTAACGCCAGGCTCAAGACATTTGGCGGAAGATCCTTCGAATATAATGCTGCCGTTGAATGGAACGCTCTCCAAATTGATCTGAAATCAACTCCAACTCTAACGTATTTCAAGAAGCATCTTAAGACCATCCTGTTCAATAGAAATGGATTGTAAACATGTTACATCTATTAACTCTGTTAGCGCTTTGAGCACACTTTAATATATAGAATAATCCTTGTAAGAATCCATATCATCATTAATGTATCAGACGTGGAATTTGTCGTTGAGGTAATGCTTTCCATTCTTGATGGAGGCCTTGCTGCAATACATCAGGATTTTGTACTGGAGGATCTCTTTGAGTACGACATTTCGATACCGAGTCTTGTACCGTTGGCAAGCAGGAATGACAACGGTACAAGAAACTGTAGCAAAACGTCCCATTCACGAAATAAAGGAATCAATTTTGTTATCCATTAAGTTTGTCAATGTTGTATTCAAAATTTCTAAAATGCCACTCAAAGACTTTGGACCGTTCTGTTGGACAAGCGACAATGTGGAAGGCTCTCTGCTTTTAACAAACTACTTCACATGAAAGGATAGATTCTTGTGATTCTGAGAAGGGCTGCGTCCTCGACCTGAACGCTGACGGTCCTTAACGTTATATCTTTGCTGTTGTTTGAGCGTCTTTGAGCAGTTGTCAATTGAGGAGGTCGCGCTTATCGGCAACAAAATCGAGTGATTTTGTAAATTATCGAGCAGTAAGAACAGTTTACCGAAACTTTATGTTTGTTTGAGTATGTGGGGATAAGAGTTCAAGTATACTCATGGATGGTATTCTCACGAGTGTTTCATGAAACATTTCATGTTACTTTAAAGTTCAAAACCTTAGACTTACGAGAGTTTGATACGGTAGCCGTTGGGGTTTGTCACAAACTGCCTCATTTTTCGTTAATCGTAAACGCAAAATGCCTGCAACCTACATCCACATCTATATTCCCTATGGGTCGCATTGACACCCTTCCATTCACTGGGAAGAGATGCGTACAGGAAACCTATTAGTTTTGGTCTTGGAGCACCTTACCTATTATCACCTATATGTGACCTCATCCCCTTTGTTCTTTCATCAAACAAGAAAATTGTCAAGCTGTCATGCGTTCTGAATATTGTTCAAAACTCTACAAAATACTTCGTGTGGACTACAATTCGGTTTACAAGTTTCTTGGCTGGAAAACATTTCCAAAGTACTCCATGAACTTCCACAAGACCCAAAGAAGCATGACTGTTACTATTATTCTGTACCCATTAGGTACCAATCCCACTTTATGACGACCTAAGATAGTCGTGATCTTGACGTACATGTATACGGAACAGACGTTTTCACTCCAACACCTTTTAAATTAATGGAGGTCACAATATAAAGGTTATGAATGAAACATAGATCTATCAAATTAACATTAACTCCTGTCCTCTAGTGACACAGCAATTTATTAAGTGTTTCATTTATGCAAACATCATCGCATTTTATGACATTCTTTTCGCGGCGACACAAACCGCCAGCAGCAGGTGGCGCCTTGTTTAGCGTGGCAATATGTCATGGTTGTTTAGGCGACAACAACAAATCCTGTCTTGGTGACGTATTCAGGACATTGCTGCCTAAACTGCATGTATGTATTATTAATAATTCCCTTATTTGATGGCGCATGTGAAAGCATGTATTACCCCAAATAACGGTGAAATACGCAAATCCTCTAAGCCATCTTTGGACCCTACTGACAGATATGCGTACTATTTATCATTGACCAGCTTGATGACGTATACAAAAGCACGCCATCCTCAGTGATTATGGTACAAACAGTGTTGCCCGAAGGCTTAGCCAGGGCAAGATATGAAATGTCGGGCAAATGAAAGCATACACTTAAAAAATAGATTTTACCACAAAATTACAAACGCTCTCAAAACGCTAAACATGAAAATAGTCGCCAAAGTATTGCAGGTTTGGGTCCAAAACACATGTGATGCCCGTATCAAATACATTTCCATGGAACATTTTCGTGTATTTTTGTCATTTTGAGCCACCGTCAAAAATGAATGTGTGCATGCCTTTTGGGGGCGGTGGAGTTGTCTAATGGTTAAAGCGCCCGCTCGTCACGCTGAAGACTCGGGTTCGATTCTCCGCATGGGTACAATGTGTGAAGTCCATTTCTGGTGTCCCCCGCCTTTATGTTGCGGGAATATTCCTAAAAGTTGCGTAAAACCATACTCACTCGCTTACATTCCTTTTCCTGGCAGTGGAAATGTCCGACAGTAGCTCCATTTATCATGTCCACTTTGTTGAAAGTAATTAAGGAGCATCAGTGTCGTAAAATTGTTAATATGATCCTTGGTTTATTAACAATATCCTGTTCACAGGAATCACATATTCAGGTGTTAACGTTACCCCGAACATTGTTTCAATTATGGCACTTCTTTAAAAGTTTTTGAATTGCATTTAGAAGTGGTACGTTGTCTATCAAATAATATAAGGTATAAAACCTATTCCACAGAGCGAGTAAGGCCATAATGCATTGATCACGATCCCATTCTCTTCCACTGAGTATTTTATCGCAAAGAATGAGTACTTACAAAGCATTCACTTTGTCACTTGTCTTCTTTTGGTATTCTCAACCAAATTATGTCATTTTGGTTCTATATACTAGGTATCTTTAAACCAACGTGTCAACTTTCCTTGAACTCAGTTCAGGTTAAAACGCTGGTTGTGTTGACCTCAAATTTGCATTTGTCCATGTAGTATCATATATAGCGTATTCTCAAAAGGACAAAACGCACAGCAACAATAACCCTGAGGCAGCAGTTGGTGCAGTAATTAAGAAGAGTTGTGTTTAACACCGTTGTGTCGAAGTTCAAGGGACCAACGTAAGTACTTCGAATTGTCCGAAGTTCGACACCAGTACAAAATGTACACCAAAGAAAAGCATACAAGGCTTTTACTTCGAGACACCCGAAGTTCGACACCTGGGCGTGTAACTGTATGTGCGATGCCTGCATTCAATCAGTAAATAAACATTCGTCATGACCTGTGAAGAAAAACAGAAAAGCAAACTCTAAAGTTTGGTTTGGTTTGTTGTTTTACGCCGCACTCAGCAATATTCCAGCTATATGGCGGCGGTCTGTAAATAATCGCGTCTGGACCAGACACTCCAGTGGTCAACAGC